TTGGTGCATGCCTGGGATCTGAACCGGTGAACCCTGGGCCACCACAGTGGAGCATGCACACTTAACCGCTTGTGCCACTGGGCCGGCCCCTTCTCCATTGTGTTTTTCATCTCCAACATTCATGATTGGTTTTTCTTTATAGTTTCAATTCATTTTGTGAAGAAGTTCCTGATTTCATTGAACTGTCTATCTCTATTTTCTTGTAACTCGTTGAGCTTTTTTATGATAGCTACTTTGAATTCTCTGTCGTTTAGATTATAAATTTCTGTGCCTTTGGGACTGATTTCTTGGTGCTTGTCATTTTCCTTCTGGACTAGAGTGGTAATATATTTTTTCATACTGTTTGATGGCATGGGTTTGTTTCTCCACATAGTGATAATATCTGGTTGCAGTTTCCACCTACCACCACTGGGTGGGGGTCAAGAGCTGTGTATTCTGAGCCTGCCACGATCCGTGGGTGCTCTGGCCGACTGGCTGTGCTGGAGTGCCAGCCAGGGGGAGGGGCGCTTTCTTTTGCCTGCCAGATCCCAGGGGCTTCTTGCTCTCCCCTTGCTATCTGCTCTCCTGGGGTGCTAGCTTGATGAAGACACCCCCACAACAGTTCAATCATCTCCATGTGGGAGTTTCCCACAGGTTGTGAGGGAACTCAGAGAGTGACGGTTTTCCCATGGAGGGCGGCCCCTCTGGCCCCCTCTCTGAGAGCTGTGTGGTCCCAGGGTCACTGCTGGGGAGGGAAAGGAGTTCTCCTTACCTCCTCCACTTCCTCTGGAGGGGTCCAGCACCTCCACCTTCAGACATATGGCTGTGTGGGTCTCTCAGATGTCTTTTGTGTTGTGGGAATGTCCTCGCTTGGTATATGAATGTCCTTTTTGTTGTATCTTAGCGGGGAGAGCTCACTCCACCATGATGCTGCCGTCACTCCTCGAGATGGGAATACTTTTAGTAATTAAAAAAAGAGAGAGAGGGGCCGGCCCAGTGGTGTAGTGGTTAAGTTCATGTGCTCCACTTCGGTGGCCCAGGGTTTGCAGGTTTAGATCCTGGGTGCAGACCTATGCACTGCTTATCAAGCCATGCTGTGGCAGGTGTCCCACATATAAAGCAGAGGAAGATGGGCACGGATGTTAGCCCAGAGCCAATCTTCCTCAGCAAAAAGAGGAGGATTGGCAACAGATGTTAGCTCAGGGCTAATCTTCCTTACCAAAAAATAAAAAAATTAAAAAGAGAGAGAAAAAGAAGCAAATAGTAATTCCCCACCCTTGCCTTTTCAGATGAGTTTTTCCATTTCGTACTCCTCTGCTTTGCCATCGGGGCCTTGCTGGTGTGTTATCACTATTACGCAGGTGAGTGGGGGGGCGTGGAAACAGGGGAGCAGGGGGCTCTGGACTTGAGGGCTGACTGTTCTCTCCTTGCTGCACTTGCAGACTGGTTCATGTCCCTCGGGATTGGCCTGCTCACCTTCGCCTCCCTGGAGACCGTTGGCATCTACTTTGGGCTGGGTAAGGCCCCTGCACAGACTCTCAGAGAGTGGTGGCTGGATGGGCCACAGATGCTTGCCAAAGACCAGAAAGCCATGACCTAAACCTCTTGTAAAGATTTCCTTATGCTCATGTTTTCTTCCTGATCACTTTCAAGGTCAGTGTGAGGTTGTTGGCAAAACCTCATGGAAAAAATGGGCAGCTCCACAAAAATGCAACAAAAACAGTTTAAAGTGGCAAACAAACAGAATTAGCCAGATACTAAAAACAAGTTAGTTAATGGAGTGGGGTACTGAATTCACTGAGTTTCCTGGCACTGTTATTGCTGTTTGTGGTCATTGTTTTTAATAATAATAATTCTAGCACTATTATCTAAGCTTAACCTGCTACCTGAAATTCCACCATTAGAGCCTTGTTTGTGGGGTTAGGCCTTTGTCCGAGGGTGGCCAGGGGGAGGCTTGACCCCAGGTCCTCTGATAGGGCACAAAGATCAACCACTTTTCTCTCCATTTCTGAGCAGTGTACCGGATCCACAGCATCCTGCAAGGCTTCATCCCCCTCTTTCAGAAATTGAGGCTGATGGGTAAATTTTACACTCTTCCTATGTTCACTTTCTTTCTCTCTATCAGGGTCTTCTGTTGCAAACGAGGAAGGGTTAGCGTATAGAAAAGAGCACAGGGCCTGGGTTCAAATCCTTTCTTTTCCACTTTACCACCTCTGCGCCCCAAGAGCCTCTTTAAGCCTCAGTTTCCTCAACTGGAAAATGGGTGTAATAATACCTACTGCACAAGGGTGTTGCGAAAATCAAGTGAGGAATGGATGCAAAAGTCCTCATGTGTGAAGCTCTGTAGAAAAGAACTTTACACTTCCCCCAAACACTATCTTCTCAGTGATTTTATTTGCCTAATAGCAGCTGGGGTTGGGGGTGGGCTTTAGTTATCTTACACCTAACTGATGAGGAAACTGAGGCTCAGAGAGGTGGAGTGATTTGCCCAGGATCACACAGCTAGAGTGGCTGGGAGGGGCTAAAGCAGTTCCTCTTTCTGGACCAGCAGCTCTGTGCCTACTATTACATCCCAAAACTGAGAGGCCAGGGGGCTGTGTGTCTCTGTGCTGGGGATTTCTGTTTCCTTTAATCCATTTCATTCATAAAGGAGAAATTAGGTCAATGGCTGTGGGTCATGGAGACCTGTGGCTTCTGGGTGACTACATATCCCAGCTGTGAGGGTTATTTGGGCACTTAGGGTAATGGTGGGGATGAGGCCTGGCTGCCTCCAGAAGACCATGCCATCCTCCGGGTTTTGCCTTCCAGGGTTCCGGAAGACCAACTGAAGCCAGTGCTGGGCAGGTAGCCAGGCTAGGCCCCAGTACGACCACCACTGCATCCCCTGAGCCCACGAGGGCAGAGCAACATTCTAGGAGACACACGGCAGGCCCAGCTAGAGCAATAAAGAGAGCACTTTTCCTTCCTTGTGGTCTGAACATTGGCACCAGCCTGGGCCAAGGTATCATACGGGCAGCGTTGGTATGCAGTTCAGCTGCCAGAATGGAAGGCAGAGGGAGGGTGCGGGGCCTGAGCCCTTCCCAGTACCGGGATCAGCAGGAGGATTCTGGGACATCACTGCTCTCAGGAGACAGTAGGAGTCCCCTGGGCCCTGCGAGCTGTAATCTGTCTGGGCTTGTGGTTTCTCTTAAGTCCCCAGGCCATCCCGGTGGGCTCTCAGGAGACAGTAGGAGTCCCCCGGGCCCTGCGAGCTGTAATCTGTCTGGGCTTGTGGTTTCTCTTAAGTCCCCAGGCCATCCCGGTGGGCTCTCAGGTCCTCCAGAGCCATCCTGGGACAGACAGACAGTCCACTGCCCTGAGGCAGGGAAGCACCATGTCAGGCCCCTGGGTGAACCTGATACAGGTTAAATGCTGGGTACTAAAGTGACAGCATTCAGGCATCTTCCCTCAGCCCCACCACCTGGTGCCTGTGCCACTACCCTGGACTCTGTCAAGATTCAAATAAACATTATCTTCCTTGGACTAAAAAGAATCAGCTAAACATTCCTTTAGGTTTCTCGAGTGCGAGAATACATTTGGGGTCTTCTTTGACCCCATCTAGTCAGGAAGGACACCTTGTCCTACTGGATAAAGTACAAAAGGGAATAAATGTAGAAATTTTAGGTCTAAGACTTCAGTTGTACAGGTTTAGAACAGGAGACAAGGTTTTGCAAACATTCTTGTGAAAAAGATCTGGGGCTGTTAGGTATCCTCAGCTCAACAAATAGCAAAGAAATGAGATAAGAGCACAAAACAAAATCCATTGAAAGCTTGGGTTGCATTAATCGAGGTAGAGTCTAACTGAAGGAGGTGATAATAGGTCCTTTACACAGCCAGGACACATCAATAGCATGTGTTCGGTTCTAGACTCACATATCAAGAGCAATGATGACAAACTAGAGAACACACAGAAGAGACCAGGGTGGGATATAAAGAATGATTGGAGAAATGAGAACTGTTCAACTTGCAGAAGAGAAAAGTGGGGGCCTTCATTGAGCTTGTAGACTCTGGAGGACACTTCCTCAAGTGCTTATGATGGTCCAGGTCCAGTCACATACATGATCTGATTTAATTCCCACAGCAGCCTTGAGATGTGTGAATCATCTTCATTTTGCAGATGGAGAAACAGACTCAAAGAGGTTTGGTAACTTGCTCAAGTGTCCACAGCAAGTAAGCAGCAGAGCTGTGATGTGAGCCCCAGCCTGTGTTCTCCTCCAGCCAAGCTGCCCTCCAGAGTGTGGCTAGTCCCCCACTGCAGGCAGAGCGTCTCTGAGGCAGCCACAGGTCTTCCCAGTATTTCCCAGACTTCGGGATTTCTCAGAGTTATAGAATATTTTTTCCCCTTTTTCTCCCCAAAGCCCCAGCAGACAGTTGTATGTCATAGTTGCATATCCTTCTAGCCGCTGCACATGGGACGCGGCCTCAGCATGGCCGGACAAGCGGCGCGTCGGTCCGCGCCCGGGATCCGAACCTGGGCTGCCAGTGGCGGAGCGCCCGCACGTAACCACTAAGGCACGGGGGCCGGCCCCTAGAATATTTTTTAAAAAGTCAGAGAAGGGGCGCTGCCAACTCTTTACTTGCCAATTGAGGACAATAAAAATAACAAAAACATCAACTAGCAGCATCATTTTATAAAAGAAAGGACAGTTCTACATCAAAAAAGCAGAGAAACTATCATCAGAAACAAAATGGGATTTAAAATCAATAAATTAAGCCTTATGAAAATCTTACTATGTGTCGTTTTTTCTCAAATCACTGTGGTCTGGTGAAAAATTATCTTTTGGAAACCATGAGACTATGGAATTCCAACGACTTTTACGTTCTCTCGTTTCTGGGATTTTCCAGCTCAGCTCCCATAGCTCAAGAGATGAAAGGCTTCCTACCTCCCAAAGCCACTCATACGGCAAGAACTGCCTTGCTCTTCTAAGACGGCTCTGTCCACGAAGCTCAAGGCTTTCTTTCAGAAGAGTAAGGAGTGGGGAATGTTCTCGACAGTCACAGCCGTGCTTTCCTCAGCACTCGGCTCTCAGCTCAGCCTGACGGCAACACCTGTGGCATAGTCCTCCAACCCTGTTCCTTTTTTTCAAGGTTTGTTGGGCTGTTCTGGGTCCCTTGTATTTCCATACAAGTTTTAGGATCGGCTTGTGAACTTCTGCGAAGAAGCCAGTGGGAATTCTGATGGATTGGATTACATCTGTAGTCAGTTTGAGGAGCATTGTGATTCTTTTTAGTGATTTATTACCTTTTTTACATTTTCATTAGGAAAAAAATTGCCCCAAATCTCAGGATCCAAAGTCAACCACAGTTGGTATTTTGGTGTGTTTTCTGTGAGTCTTTTTTTTTTTTTTTTTTAAAGATTTTTTTTATTTATTTTTCCCCCAAAGCCCCAGTACATAGTTGTCTGTCATAGCT